AGCGGCAAGGAGTGTGTAATTCAGTTCGTAGAGTGGTGGACTAACAATTCTAAGAACAGGTTTAGTCTGCTCGCTAGGGCTTTTGTGAGAAGTTTAATATCAGAGTTGAGTAATGAAATCAGGCAAAAATGTCCTGGGTCAAGATAGTCCTTCCCTGGATTGGGAATGAGCAAACGTTTGCAGCCACCATTTCAGTAGGGAGGGATTGTCTATGTAGTAGGGCATTGAATACCTTGCAGAGATGTGGGAGCAATAGATCGCTAAATGTCTTATGGTATAAGGCTATAAAGCCAGGTCCTGGGCTCTTGCCTGGTTTACAGGCAACTGCTGTGCTGTACTGAGGAAGCTAAAGATGTACAATAGGCAAGAAATATTAACATATAAAGCTCTTTGGCCACATGCATTTTAAATTCTGAGAGGAATCCCCTAATGTCCCTCTGGGTCTCCATCGTGTGTCAAGCATCATCCCTCCAAGTCTGAGTCAGATGGCATTGCGCCGCATGTAGGCATTTGGGCCTTGTGCAGCCTCCCCCATCTCATAACGTAGCTCAGTGTTGTGACGCACTTCGATTCCATGTTCATGCTCCATTACCCTCTACTATTCTATTAGCTACCTCAACTTTGGTTTGACCTTTCATTGTTATACCTGCTCCATTTTGTATTTGCCTTTTTTGTAGTTAGGTGTCTCTCAGCCCCCTTGACGCAGCCTATTCTTCTGTCTCAAGTAATCCAGTACTCCGCTCCAAACTCGCTAAAAAATAATATAATTGCAAGAGGTCATAAAACCATTTTTTTTTCTTTTTTAAATTCTTTATTTTCAGGCTTGTGATGCCACAACAACATTGACAGTCATATTGTAAGCATACATGTAGGTACACTGCCATGGAATATGAGAGAGTTGCAATTTTTATTTTATTTTAATAAACATGCTGAGTAGTCTAACTTAATGAAGAGCAAGACTAAGTAGCAGTTCATTCTGACAGCATGAGTAATCTGTAAAGCACTTCACAACTAACTAGTGTTAGGTAGATGTTAATGTAACATGCTTGCTATGTTTTAAAAAAAAAAAAAAAAAGAATAAAATAAGAGATTATTCACAACTAGTAAACTCGATCGTAGTGAAATAAAGAGTAGGCCTTGAATGTCAGACTAGGCAAAATATTAGTAGTGATAGATTGTGTCTGTGACACAGGACGGGTAAGTGTCGGTTGTCGCTCTGCAAGACAATCCCAAAAGGCCTGGCAGATTGCCTCATATCTTGCTTTGAAGGCTTCTCTCCAATTCTGGCCTGTCTGGCTCGTATGGTTTTGCTGAGGTTTCAGTGCGACGGTCATCTTGGACGAGCCGCGTGGATTGCAAGGTTCCTCCATCCACTCCTCTTGAAAAAGGCTTTAGCAGACCCAGTGAGGACCGGGATATCCGGGGGCTCCAAGTGCTGTTTGCCCACTGGTAGGAGATCGGCCGCGTCTCCCCACCATTGGCGCGCCAGATGCGCTTTGTGGCCTCAGATGTGGACCCGGGTGATGTCCAGCAGACTTCCCCGATTCAGGCTCAGCAAGGCATGCTCGGCTATTGGGGCGTTAGAATATTTTAAAAATTCACTTTCGGTAACAGTATGTTCTGTATAAGCGTAGCTGTGGCCCAGATTGTGGGGAGCTACAGGCAAACACATCCGGCTATGTTGGAGATCAAGCCCGCCCCCTATAAAACCATTTCTGATAAGATCCAAAGATATTCATGTCCTCATCACAATGAGATACTTTACCAGCATCAAATTTATATTTGCATACATGTATCACCTTTAAAGATTAGATTGTTATGATGCTATTTAGGTTTTATTGGTAATGAAGGGCTTAATAAGACAAGCTTAATAATAGCTGTTTTGACAAGGTATCTGCAGCACAAGACTATATGTATCCAACTTGCAAAAATTATATACTAGGGAATCGGGATACATTCAGGCCAGACATTTGGGAAAAATGGGAATGTGGTAAACTTAGAGCTGTGATAGAAGAATGATAGAGATAATTATCAGTGCGGGGGTCTGCTGCAGTATAGCAGGAATTGTGGTTACCTCATAATAAATTAAATGAGTTTGGTAAGACACAACACCTTGCTGTATATATGTAAATGTATTGTTATGCCATAATTAAATGTTTGCTATTGGGATTTTAGACCGTAACAAATGAGTCCAGTCTTTGGAGTTGAGGAAAATTAAAAGAGGAAACAGGCATATTAAAAAGAGGGATATGTTATCTGGCACTGAAGACAATTTAAGATGTGAAAGAATTAACTATCTATAAAATGTAGATTGTAGTATTTAATGTAGCCACTAGATGTCATGCAAGATATACCTACACCCAACTAAAAGTATGAGCAACTACATGTTATGGCAGGAGAGAAGTAATAATGACATGGCGTCTCTTGAGAGAATGCTGGGTAAAATAACGAAAAGTATGGTTAATGCAAGAGCCAGCATGTAACTGAAATATGCAACGTATAATATTGTGTTCTCATCCCCAGCAAGTGCCTGCACAGTCTTATCAAGCTGAGTTTACCCAGTTGGGCAGTAGAGATGGAGACCTGTATCCAAGAGGAGGTTTGGACGTATTACCAAGAAGCACTAAATATTATTACTAGTTGTGTGAGTTCTGCAAATAAATAGACACTTAAATAATTAACTTAAAAATATTTTATGCACTTAAAGACTTTTTAATAGCCCTCTATTGATCTACTCCTATTGCTATTCAGGATGAATATCCAGAAGTGGAATCATTGTGGCTGATGACGCAGGCTTGGAATACAGGGATCTTCCAGTACAGTGTGAAGAAATATACCGATGCAGAACGCTGGTGTGCACTGGCCATGCGCCTGCTTAATTACATTGGGACTTTAAAGAGCAGTTATGAAAACCAGGTGTGAGGGGGAGAATGCAAAAAGGACTTACAATAGACAGTGAAATAGGTTTACATATGATAAAAATGTCAGCGTTAAAAGGAACAGACAGTAACAAATTAATAATTAAGATGAGACATTCTCTGTAATGTTTCATTTTCACTAGCAGAGAATTATTTGCAAAATATGCAAGGACCCACTTACTTCACTTACATGAAGTTGCTCTATTTAGTAATTTAGACTTTTAAGATCCAAACTTGAGCGCTTCTAACTTAATATTACCTCAAACTCATATTACTTTATTATTAAAGGACCACTCTAGGCACCCAGACCACTTCCGCTTAATGAAGTGGTCTGGGTGCCAGGTCCCTCTAGGATTAACCCTTTTTTTTTATAAACATAGCAGTTTCAGAGAAAACTGCTATGTTTATAAATGGGTTAATCCAGCCTCCAAATCCTCTAGTGGCTGTCTCATTGACAGCCGCTAGAGGCGTTTGCGTGCTTCTCACTGTGAAAATCACAGTGAGAACACGCAAGCGTCCATAGGAAAGCATTGTAAATGCTTTCCTATGAGACCGGCTGAATGCGCGCGCAGCTCTTGCCGCACGTCCGCATTCAGCCGAAAGGGAAGAGAAGAGGCGGAGGGGAGGAGGAGAGCTCCCCGCCTGGCGCTGGAAAAAAGGTAAGTTTGAACCCTTTCCTCTCCCCAGAGCCGGGCGGGAGGGGGTCCCTGAGGGTGGGGGCACAAGTATGTTTTCCTGGCACTATAGAGGTCCTTTAAGCAATCCAATATTCCCAAAGGGTTGCTGTTTCTTCATGCAGCTCTGTGTACCCATGGCAATATGTCACCTTATGATGCTTTAGCATAATGAATTAAAATGTAATTAGTTTAGCATTGATTATATATACAGAGCTCAAAATTTCCACTCGTCCCTTAGTTAGTGAGTGAAAATTTACTCGAATAGAAAGCGAATAGAAATTTGCCCCTCGTGAGTATGCCTTGGACTCTCTTGGCTTGCAGAGAGTAAGACGTGGCTAGCAGCAAAGGACTTGAAATGTTAGGACTTTTATATTTACACATCTGCTGTTTCAATGTTCGTATAATTTATTCAGCTTTCAACATGAAGATTTACTTAATAGACTTGCAGTAAGTTGACAACCGATATGCAAACTTTAGGTGAAAATTATTTGCTTGATAGTTATACTCACACAAGCAGGGTTCCATACATAAACTAACCTAACTTTAATCAGAGATGAACAACTATGTAGCTACATTGGAATCATTTGCAATCCTATCACAGTCTAGTGGGATTATAATTAGCAAGTATCCAAAATAGTGTTACAATTCTCCAATTCTGCACCTACTAATTGTCCTAAAATTTGCAAAACCGTTATTAACTCTTCTAAGCGCATAGTTTAAAGTGTAAACTCTATTATATTCCTCGTAATCCTAATTACCCACATCTTCTGATCTCTTGCTCATTTCTTTAAATTTTATTTGTACAACTGATGAAAAAAATAACACCAATGTGTTGATTCTCTGCCTAACTCTCTTGGTTATAGGGGTCATAGTATAGTAGTAAAAAATAATGAAAACTGTCAAGAAGAAACCATGGTCTCATGAATACATACATGTAAAACTAAATTAGCCATAGTGTTAGTGAGGTAAAGGAAAAGAAAACTGGGTGGTGGCAGGAAACAGGAACAACAGGGGGGAAACAGGAACAAAGGGCCATCGTATGGTTGTACCTGTGGTTGGGGTGAGTTGACGACTGGCAGTGACTGACTCCATGCTGCAGTGTTGTTAAAATCTAGAATAGCTAGGTTATATATTTGTCAGACTAATCATTTTGTGAACCATCACACCATCATTTCCATGACCTGTATTTTTTAACACTTTTTACAGCCACTGTGGTTTGGGGGTTATATTTATTCCATTAGAGACAGGAGTATAGGGCAGTCCTGTTGTGGCATAGTCCTACTTTCAGAAGGACATCATTTTGAGAAGATGCCGCATGAGTAGGACTTTGAATATGCCAGCAGATGTTGCCCACTGATTAAATATTATATGAGCGCACAGAGCCTCTGTACAAGTGGAGATGTAGCAGTGTAAGCATGCAGAAGCCAAACACAGAGATATGGACACAGGTATTCAGGAAGTAAGAGGCCTTTATTCACATTACTGATTGGGTCTCAGATGAACTCCTGTTCCAAAAGATCTGAGGGACCAACACATGGTGTACATTCCTTATATAGCACTATAACTCCTCCCATTAATAGCTACACCCACATATACCTTTAACCAATCAATGAGCAGAATATAGACATGTACATCTAGTCAAACCACATGGCCCATCCAAGACAAAGGAAATAAGTGCAATTTCAGTTCCTGCATTCCTGCACATGCTCAGTAAATTGACGACAGTATCCTAGCTACGTGTAGCTAACTAACTGACACAACATACACATATGCCACATGGAAATCTTGGCCTACTAAATTTACATTCACTGAAATTCCACCACATAACAATAATGAAAAGGTTAAATTCTAAAAATTTTAAGAGCTGTGATGGGTCAAACAAATGTTTTCAATTGTGAGAGAAGTAGAAAAACAGCTCCAACTTAGCTTTAAAAGATTAAAGAGTCTGCCATTTTTTTAATATTTATTCTTCTTTCCATTATTTCATCCCATGATATCATATGACAATTCATTCTACTTCAGGTCCTTTTCCGGTTGGAAGACTAAGGCTATCAATGGTGTAAATGCCAGAGAAGTGATAGCTCTTCTTTAATTAAGTGAATTTATTTAAAGATACCAAAAGAGTGGAGAAAAATTCAGAGAGATGTCACAATCAGCAAAAAGACAGACCATGCTGACAGTAGGGCTAAACATATAACCAGAAAGCCTAATCATAATCCTACAGTATACCTAACCCAGCATTAACCCTTACTTTACCCTGTCACTAACCCAAAACCTAAGGAATGCTCTCTGCTAATGTCAGTACTGATATCAGCAGAGGGATTTCCAAGCTAAAACAATAGAGTGCTGCAGTGTAGTGGTGTTGTGGAGACAGGCTCAGACACTGAGTGTAGTGGATACCAGCCAATGACAAAAAGGATAAGGTGAGGCCTGATAGAAAGCAGTTGTTATTGGGGGATTCTATCATAAGAGGTGTTGAGCTGGACAATAGTGGCCTTGTGAGATGTCTTCCTGGAGCTACTGCTCACAGAGACAGGAGACGTATTTTTAATATTGTTATAGGGTCACGAACACAAACATGTATTCCTGACCCAATAGTGTTAAAACCACCATGTAGCCCCTCTGGACCCCTCATGCCTCCATAAATATAGCAAAATCTTACTGTATTCAAGCCTGAAGCTATAGATCTGCATGATGTTTGCCTCAGAAAATCAAGCTGTCTGCTGACATCATCAGAAGTGGTAGCCTGATCCAATCACAATACTTCCCCATAGGATTGACTGAGAGTGACAAGGAGGCAGATCAGGGGCAGAGTCAGCATGATTCAAACACAGCCCTGGCCAATCAGCATCTCCTCATAATTGAATCAATGAATCTCTATGAGGAAAGTTCAGTGTCTGCATGCAGAGGGAGGAGACACTGAATGTTTGGATG